CACCTTCGTTTTTTTATTTTCAGATTTTTCCACCTTTGAATTTTTATGTTTATGGGACAAAATGTGTATTTTTAGCCTTATGAGACGAATTGTGTATTTTTATTTCATTATTGTTGTTTTTCTTATTCTTTCCTCTTTAGTTCCTACTCCTCCTTATTTCTTTCCTACTTCTCCTTAGGCTATGTTTGGTAAAATTAGCTGATAAGCTAGCTGATAGCTGATAAGCTAGCTTATAGCTTATATGTAATTTTTGAGCTTATAGCTTATAACTTATGACTTATAGCTGAAAAGCTAGCTTATATGATAAAAGGTGTTTGGTAAATTAGCTGATAAGCTAGCTGAAATAAAAAAATTCAACTAACTTATTTGAAAAGCTACCTAAAGTAGCTTATGAAATAAGCTCGAGCTTTTTAAAAAAGTTCGTCCTACCAAACGAGACTTATTTTAAACAGGGAGCTTATAAGCTAGCCAAATAAGCTAAAAGCTAGCTTATTTGGCTTACCAAACATACCCTTAGTTAGTTCCTAGTTCCTACTCCTCCTTAGTTAGTTCAAATATAGTCCAAATAATCTCTTTTGGTCCCACAATTGAAAAATAAAAATTAACCCCAAAATGAAAAATAAAAATAAAAATTGAAGGCACAAAACAAAGATTTTGGATTTAACCGATTAACCGCCAAAGCGGACTGTCCAATGCAGTCCGGATTGTGGCTGGTTAAAAATAAAACCGGTTCGGTTATGGACAAGAAAAAAAATTAACCATTAGGTCCGATTTGGTCATGGTTTGAGCTAAAACAGTACTAATCCGGACCGTGGACACCCCTACTTATTACTACTTACTGCCCTTGTTTGGACATTTTTACCCCTGATATTTTTAAAAAAAAAAAACTAAAAAAATAAAAATAAAAATAAACTTCCGTCGTGCACGGTCGAGTGTTGCACCATGCAAGACCGGTCTTGTCGGTAGCCGCGCACTCTTTTTTAATAATCAAATTTTTATTTATTATATAAATTATATCAGAATTTAGATATTATTATGTTATAAATTAGAATATATTACCTTATAGTCAGAATTTTAAAATTATTATATTATAAGTTAATAATTGATTATCTTATTAAATATTATTATTATTATATTAGCACTTAGAAATTATTATGTTATATAACATAATACTAATTATCTACAACAAAATACTAATTATCTGTAAGAAAAATATAACATTTATAATTATTGCCTACTAACAATAATATACATTAAACAAAATAACAATTTATAGTTATATTTTAAAATATTACTTTTTTTTTTCAAAAATAAAATTTATTTCTAATACTAATAAATATCGAATAATATAAAAGATAATTTTACAAGATAATCAATTCTAACTTATAGCATAATAATTTCTAAGTTCTAACATAATAATAATAAATTCTATAAGATAATTATTTGTAATTTACAACATAATAATTTCGAACTTTCAACATAATAATAATAAATTTTAATTTATAACATAATAATTTATAAATTCTAACATGATTTCTATAATAAATAATAGTTTGATTTGTAAAAAAAAAAAAAAA